GGTGAGTTGAGCTACACTAAGTCCCAATCAATCAATTTGTAGCCTTGTCGAATCCGAATTAAACCCAGAATTTCGTCTTATAGAAGCTTCTTTAAATTTTTTATAGCAATAAAATTTTGTCAAACGTTTATTTTTCTAAAGCGATATTTTTCCAACATTTCTAACGTTCTTTGGATTTCGAAAAGTTTGTTGTAATCGCATCACAAGGTGACGTTAAGGGAGTCAAACGATGGCGAATTGATTTTACATGCACATTGGCACATTAAAGTCTGCTAGTCCGCGTTCATGACAGCCTACTCGTCCTCAAAGCCATGCAAAACAAGCGATAACAAGAGGACGTAAACGTTTCAGGCAGATAAAATAATTACGGTAGATTTTGTTAGATTTGAAGAAGGATGGATGACCTTTGAATTCTATTGCATCTAACAGTCTATTGAATTCAATTATAATATTTTGGAACATTCTCATAAAAGAGGTTCTTCTAAAGAATCGAGAAATGGCAAGGCATTGTCAACTCCGAGGCATATAAGTGCGCCAGTATCTGTTGCAAAGATTCTAAATCCAAGTGGTCATCAAAGCTATCTTCCATGACGATTTGAATTTCAACCCACAGCTATTTGCGTACGTCTTAATGTAACCTTCCATTATGACTTGACTTTTCTAATTATTCTTGCAGTTGTATCGTATTTTGGAGTATAAGTGATGATATTTTTTTAGGATTGATTTTTAGGTTTTTAAGATACCTGGTTTATATAATATTCTACTACGAGATTGAAATACATAGATAAACTCACTGTTGACCACAGAAGTAATGATAGAGATGTTGTTGAGGATTGTTAAAATGCAGAATAAGAGGTGAACACGCTTCCCGAATCGGGCAAGCATTAATTGAGGGAAGATCCTAGCTCCTGGAGCTCGAGTTCGAAACTGTGTCAGGAGGATGCCAAGCAGGCAGAGTGGAGTGATAGCCCCGATGAAGTACCACACAGGGCCCGATATGCCATACTACAAGTGGACATTTGAGTTATATTGCTTCGATACACCTGACAGGGTTGAGTTATTATTCTGTCATTATATTCGACATCATTTTCAAATGTCACTTAAATTGTTTTCAACTTTAATTTAGCAAATCTGAGCAAATTATTGCAAGGATGTAAAACTTAGGATTCTCTACACAGAAGCACCTTCTTAAACATAGCGCTGCCTGTTTTGCTATAATATTTACGCTGCAGCGAAACCCATGTACTTGGTCTTGAGTCCGAACTCTCATCCGTTAGAGGCACTCGAAGTCACCGGAGAAGTTACACATTTACAGTTACTGGGAGAATTTATGGCTTGACTCAACGCCATTATGTTGGCTCAATTTAACTTCTTAACAGGAAATTGCTGAAGAATTAATTTTAGACGCATTCCAAATAGAGAAAGCAAATTTTCTGCAGGAAATTTTTGCTCCTTTTTCACGTCAACATAGATACAATTTGAATTTTCTGCTTTATGTAAAAGAAAAAAAGCAATGGTTATGATAAGTTGTGGCCCCGATTAAGAGGCCAAGGTTTCAGTGGACCAGCTCCTAGTAGTCAAATTTAATTATTAAAATAAGTAATTTTATTTACAACTTCATATACCTCAACCATTCAAATAAACACACATTAATGAAGCATTAATTCTGGCAGACCAAGAAACATAAAATTTCTGAATAGATTGTCAAAGGGGAGAATTACACCAGATCGTAATTACCTTAAGTGCTTCATAACTGCTAGAGGTCAATGCAGAAGCTCCCGTAGAATGCATAGCCAAGCCGATAACTACGATTCCGAAATTCAGCGAAGTCCGCTTGTTGGTTCCTGTACGCCCAGGCTTAGAAATAAAAACAACTCAATATTTAGAAACCACCGTAAGCTGAGCATTTAATTTAATGGTTAAACAATGTGAGCATTATGATTCCGATCATTGTATCATACTGAAACTGGTGTCCCCAACTATAATTTATTCATAAGCCTTGCTTGGCAAGTATTGCTCTTTTCAAACAGATTAAATCAACTGATTCATGGTAATCACTGGTATTATAGAGAGATACGTTCAACTTGCCTGCTTTTTAATGAATCTCAAAACAACTCGGAAGGTGAAATTAATGATTAACATGTATGCTGGATAAAAGAGAAGTATCAGGAAAGCCTGAACCCAATCGGAGAACAGGTAATTTCGAGCTTCAACTGTAAACCACGTTATTTGCATGTTACCAAAGCTATCGAAATGCATAACTATGGCGTCATGCTTTGCGTCTGTTCTTTTATAACAACTAATGAGTCAGCAACATTATTTCGGGATTTAATTGGTTAGTTCCAGCCAATTAGACACACTGGCCATTCTGTCGGAATCAACAACCATTATAATAACATGGGCCCCAGATTTAGTAAAAGTTGTTTGAATTAGCCTACAGTATCGAGTTTTAGAGTCAGTCATGGAGGTGTTCATTAAATAATTTAGTGGTGAGTTTAATGAATAGTTTCCAAATTCTAAAAGGAAAATTTCACCTACCCTGAACAGTCACTACCCATTGTAATCATAATAAAATGCCGCAAAAAGGCAAACATTTGTCCACGAAAAACAATCCTGGTGTGTTCTGATGATCTACAAGACCTTAAAGTGCGGTAAACATACCTGATGTAAGAAGACCGTGCAAAATCTGGAGACTGGCTGTGGTTAAACGAGAATACATGGAATGTGTGCTCTGACCGAATGGAATAAATACTTCGTGCACAGTTGGACATATCTTCGATAATCTTGTTGACACCTTTTTTAGAAAACAATTACCTCCGATGTGTTTTGGTTGTTTTCATATTTTAACAACGTAAATTACATGACGTATGGCTGGTTAAAAGGAGAACAACTGCAAAGACTTTGCGTCAGTATATGCATTTATTTTCATTGTATCATCTTTAAAAACGTCAACATAATAAGAAGCTGAAATTTAAGCAGTAACAGGATAAAAAGGCGTACATTTTAAGAACAGCAGTTATTGTAGTTTATTAAACTGTTAATATTGTTATGCTCGGCTATTTTTTGTTTGGTTCATCCAAGCTGAGTTAAATTGGGACAATCACTGGAGTTTCGATCAAGTAATTACTTGATTTGTTATCACGATGTACCTGGCCGCACAGATTTCATGACAGAGGGAATTGCCAGTTTTGCCACGCGTCACGAATTCCTTTATTCTCCTGGTTCGAGTCTTCAAGCGCGTCAAAGAATTTTGAACAAAACTGTTAAATACGTGTATTTACTGTCTTTCCTTGTGAAAAAATGTAGCTCGAGGTGGCAAGTTCCAACTTTTTAGTCTAATGTAGGTTTATACTAGTTTACGATGCCATTTTAGGGCATTCACAAATGTATCGAAACTGTCAACCCAGAATAATCAGAATTTAATAGATGTCTTTATTAATTGTAACGGTCTTTATGGCTCCATAATTTTCGGCAATGGAGCAAGATATTGGTAGCAGTCATTATCAACCAGCACCTTGTGCATACCCTTATTTGCAAAGTTCATGAAGATAAGAAAATGTGCCGTTATAAAGTCCTCTATGTCAAGTAAAAATGGTACCTACCGTACTGATGACCGAATGTATCTGAAACCATGTGTGCGGAATATACAGACAAACATTGGAATGGGTGTAAAGCTTTAGAGCTTATCAAAACGAGAAACCACATTTAAACTGAGCGATAAGCTTGGAAAGAACAATTTGGGAAGCAACTTGGAGGTTATTGTAAAAATACCAGACAACGTGGCGAACTGACTTTCCATGTTCAAAAGCTACATGACCAACAAAATTAACTATTTACAATTAGACTATCCAAAAATTCTCTTGTTGAAAAACAAAGACGCGTTAGAACCAAATATTGTTAAATTTTTTTTTAAAACCGACAAAGAAGACCGTTCGCGAAACAGAGTTAAATTTTACCGGACATTTATCAGAATTAAAATCCATTCTAATATTTTACAATGCATAATCAAAGTTGAAAAAAGTAACACATATTTCGAAAAGAAAAAGAAACCGATTTTAATATTCATTGCGTATTAAGCACAGTCAGTTGGAATATTTCAGTTAACAAAAAGAGTTCTTACTCAGTACTTCAGCTCCTCAAAGTCAAAAAATAAGAAGATAAACCAACTCTACAGCAATTTACTAATTTTCTTCCGCAGCTCTGGCAAGAATGCAAGTGAAACAGAGCCCTATCTGTGTCCGGGTAACGTTCAAAGCCCCCTTTCCAACTGGTCTGGAAAAATCCAAACAGTTGGATCAACTCGTGTTTGGACCGAAGCCCGATCTGGGTGTCATTGCACTGTAGGCGAGGATCTTGCGACACAGGCCGTCGTCTCACATCACAGTTTGGGAGCCCAGAAAGTCTTGGCGAGGTTAATGATTGTGTGAGCAGCTGTAATGTTGCATTACCGCCAACATTGACAGAAAGCTTTCTTTTCACCTATGCATCTCCTCGTAGTTTTTTTCCGGAACTCAGTAAATTGGTGTCTGCTCTAAAGCCCACGCGGCACACCGTTGGGAAGCGCGTATTTTGCGAGAACGGGGGACTGCCGAATTAGTGACGTTAGCCAGGAAAATAGCATAAAGGGCGAAGTAAGCAATGCCAACTCATGTTAGTCCCAAAATACAAGTTCGAAGGCGATTACGTGGTTCAAGCGCGATGATGCACAACCTCATGCGATGTTTTAGTGCGAAAGTGGAATTTATTGTGCGATTGCCGAAAGGGGAACCAGTGAAACCGTAAATAAGGGCTACGTTCTGTACAAAAATTGATTGCGAATAACATTGCCTGAGTAACATGTATTTCCTCTCTTTTTTGAAATCAAAATAACTCTCGAAATAAATCAAATTACTCTGATGAGACCCAGAGCAAACTTTCCGTACAGAAACCAGTGGGAAATAAAGCTTGTAATTGGCAGCAACTTTTTAGTTAAAGTGGGTGTTCTGTGCTGTAGCTCAAAGAAATCTTATTTAAAAAATAATCTTAATTATGATGAAAATTTTGCAAAATTGATTTCAGACTTGTGTGTGTGATCAATAACAGCTTTAATTATAATTTTTAACGGTCGGATGTATTCAAGAATCTCGGTAGAGAATACGCTCACTTTTCATTCTTTAGCTTTTATTTTGGTCACTGCAAGTGTATTAGCTAAATTAGGTTAGGTTTGATTCTATTTTAATCGCGTCTGATCGTGAGGTATCAAAGAAAAAATCCAGTAAATTTAACATTTACTTATTAAATTAATGATAGTTTCCTAGTGCCGATTCAAGGATTAACTCTACTTAATACGATTCTTCGTTACGCAGATATTTCCATTTTTTAAAAAGGTGTCCCATATTATTTTGGCAACCAATAAAATGGCTGTGATGTCCAAATATAAATATTTGACATGGCAGTTGACATGTTACATTTGTTAATTGCTATAAAAATGATTTCTAAATAAATATACTAATTTGGCCAATTATTCGTTTGTCGACATACCAAATAAATTTGCGATTTAAATTATTGAAAATAATATGCCAAACATGGGTTGTGACACCAGTTCTGAAAATTTTAATTCCTGTCTGAGTTTTCGTGGTATTTATAGAGAAAACCGTCAAGTATAAACATGGCGTTAGACAAAAATACTTCTCTTTCCTGATATTTGGTTCTATTTTTTTTCAGAAACTAGAGCACTGACAGAGATTTGGTTTCCTTGAGTTTTATACGGAACTTGATCTGCCACCACACCTACGGCAAAAATGATATTTAATTACAAGAGACATTATTTTGCATGAATGTCATTAGGTTTGAAAAAATCAAATTCTCGTCTTTGTTAACCAAATAAAGTCAAACCATTATAAACGAATGCTCTGTCTGATGGTAAGCCTTTATTATTGGAACAGTTTCTTTCTGTAACGTCATTTACCTGTTGTCCGCTAACCTTCTTGTTAAAACTGGTACTGTTATAAAAACGTGAAATTGAC